TCGGGTTTAATTTTTTGGGCCCGATCTAAGCTCTAGTCGTCATTTGTCATCTTATTCTGACAGGCTGATCAGATTGGGGCACCCCCTACTGGCCACTGGGTCCTACGCAGCCGCTTAGTTTGCTCATGCCTTGGGCCGTCCCTGACAGTAACAAGTGAGGCCAAGTTTAGTGACATAAAATTAAAGGAACTCTGACGCCTTTTCATGAAAATAGAAACACAGCAGTAGACAAAGTTATAGAAAGAGGAAAGGAGATTTATGGTTAATGTAAAATCATTTAGAGCTGGTCACAGGAACAGGGGGGAGGGGTTTGTCTGAGACCAAACTGCACGCCCCACCTTGCTGCCCTCGTACAGGACGGCATCCCACACTCGCAGCAGGATGTCGCTGGTCAGACTCTCCACGAACAGCACCAGGAACCAGTTGAAGGTGACGAGGGAGACGTCCGCATTGTGCTCCTCGAGGTGAGCCATCAGTCGGGGCATCTTCTCCGCCATGAAGTCCTTCAGCACCCGCTGGTCAGCCTGGGGAGGGATGGGGCACAGCCGTCTGTCAGTGCAGCTGCCCCCCCCTGGTGGGACGTGCCCCGCTAGCCTGGCCTCGAGGCCTCAGCTGTCACGGGTGATGATGTTTATTAAAGGCGCAGGCGGCCGGAAGGGCAGGGCAGGTCAGGTGACAGCTTGGCAAGGGACCAAGAAAGCAGAGGCTGGTCGGTGAATTCGATCTGCCGCTGACCTGAATAAATATGGAGACCTGCACTGGCACCCACCGCAAAGAGGCTTATTCCTAATCACCCACTACGTTTGTATAATGAAATGTGCCCTCTGTTCTGATCCTAGCTTAGTTTCTGTATAAGGATTTGTCCTTGAATGAGAATTAACCAATGCTGTTATTGTTAATGATCACTAATACTAAAACGGAAAAACCTTTCATCCAGCTTTCATCTGCTTACCCAGTCACAGGATGGAAAGCCAGGGGGGCATGCGGGGAAGAAAGTAGGGGATGCCCCAGGTGGGACGCCGGTCCCTCGCGGGGCATATAGACACGCACGCACACACACTCACACATGCTGATTAGCCTAACGGCATGTCGTTAAAAACTCATGAAAGCTGAGGGAACTGCAGAGAGACAGAGGAGAGCCTGGACATATGAGACAGAAGTGTTACCCGCCGCAACATCAATGCCCAGCCGAGCCTCCCTTTCACCTCGCCACTTCCATATATGGTAACTACCACCAGCGTAGTTAAATATGAGGGTGACATTTATGGTGTAAAGCCTGCAATCACAGCCTGCCACTTTGGAGGAGGGATTTCGTGGTTCTGAGTGCCCCTCTCTGATCATGCAAAATTTGCTGAGGTCATCCACCAACCAGCAAAATTTACCGATCACCAGCAACCATGTGAAATTTACTGATGGGGGCCCCCTCAGCACTCCCCTGACCCTGCCCCCCGCCAGCAAAATGTACGAATTACCAACAATCATGCTAAATTTACCGAGGGGGGCCCCACCTCCTGGTCGAGCGGCTACCCCTCAAAGTCTGGGCACGCTCCTGATGACTATGGATAAATGCATTTAAACTGTGACCTGCAGCCCCCTGTGACCTAAAGAGAGCTGCCCAAAAATAATAACTCATTTGTGCACGTCATGGTGGAAATGACTGATGGTGAGAGACAGGAAAACAGGGGAAGTAGCTCTGTCTGGCGTTTCAGCGACACTCTGACCGCACGTGGCTCACGCACCTGCGAGGCGATGAGGGTTTTGCTGTAATAGTCCTGTGGCATGATGGCTTCCACTATGGCCACCAGGCACCAGAAGGCGTCTTCCTCGTTCTCCAGCACCAGCAGGGCAATGGCAGCCAGTCTGGAGGAGAGAACATGGCAGATTAGATATCTGCTGGTTCTTACTGGCAGAATCACCTGGCACCCCCATAGAACCAGAACAAAACCCATCCTTACTAAGAAACACCAGAGAGCAGTGGAAACACAGCTATATATGATATTTAAATCATCTTCCTGTTGGCGTAGAACTATGATATCATGTCTGTCAAAATGTGTCAGCTTGGCTATTTCAAAACTTCTCCTAAAATCACCACTATTTGTAGCAACCAACCAATACACCCATGACTTTTTTTGACTCATCTACTACCCCATCTTGTTTGGCTAATCAATACCCCCATTGTGTTATTTAACACAATGCTCATTCATTAATTGAGCTGGTGGAGAAATTTTATAAACACATAGAATGGCTGAGGAGACCATAAGGGGGGAACACAAGCGGAGGCTATCTAGCCATCCAACAAGATACAGTGGAACCCACTTACAGTGATCGCAGTTATAGTGATCAACCGCTTAAATGTATCAAAAAGCTTGGGACAGAATCATTCGTATACAAATACTGTTTGAATAATTTGCCTATCAAGTAGTCCGTGTTCATATTGAGTCTTGTTATACATGACAACATACGGAAAAAAATAAAACTACGCTAATTCTTTTTCGTTTTACTTTACTTTGATAAGCCTATGTTTCCCTGCGGTAACCCGTCTGCGGACTGACGTGAAGTTGTTCTTTATGTTACTCCTTAAAGGGGCCGCACAACAAGCAACAATAACAGGAAAGCAATGAATGACGGGGAAACTTGGGGAAGTTACGCTAAGGACAGTAAGGCACACACACGGCGGGTAATTACACAGTGACTAAGACACGCGAGGATCAGGCAAGAACCAAGTACAACCACAGTTAAAGGCACACGCGATAATTGGATAAACAGCATAATAAGTACCTACACTAAAAAATGCAAACAGTGGCTATATACACGCGCTCGCCAGGCATGCCGGGACATGCAGATGCCACCGGTGCTACAGTATTACAGCGTATTTGAATTGTACATAGTTTAGTAATTTCATTTGTACAATACTGTAGTTTGAAAATCGTTTGAAACAGCTGTACTGTATTTTCAAAGAGTCAATAAAATTCTCAGAATAGCGATGCTGTCCGTTCTATTGCCTTATGTTCATGTAATAAATATACAAATGTCAAGTAGATGATAATCTGCCAGAGACAAAGAAAAAGGAAAAAAAAGTGTTATAATGATCATCCGCGTATAGCGATCAATTTCACACAGACGTGATCAGTAATCGCGGATTCCACTGTAGCCATAAACATTTTCTTTGACTGCCTTAGACTTTTGCACGGTACTGTAGGTCCTATTCATGAAGTAATTACTTTGGTGAACCAGTAGGGGACACTATTTCTCCATGGTTTCTCCATCTATAATGCCATTAATGTTTGCCTGCTAATAGCTCAATTGAGGATGTATTTGCACCAGTTTCAGCCAGTTCTGCAGTTAGTCGTGGGTTTACTTTATCAATTTATTGTGGATGTTTAGATCCAGTAGAGCCCAATAATGGAGCTGTATGTAGCTGACAGTGGAGGAGCCATGGTACCTGTTGAGACCCTGGCAGTAGCCGATGGTGGGGTTTTGCCAGGAGAAGGCCAGCAGGATGCGGTGCAGCTGCTTCAGGGTGGGGCTCGTGGGTGAGGAGAAGTGCCAGTTACTGGAGAGGGTGCGGTGCAGGTCCAGTTGGATCTGGCGGGCGGCCGCATGCTCGGAGCTTTGGCCCCGCCCACACAGCTCACGGTACCTGTCTGGGTGGCGCTCCCGGAGCGAGCGTGTGCGCAACCCCACCACCCAGCGCCATACGCGCGGACGCAGTGCCACGGGAACGCCACTCCGCATCAGCGTCTTCAGTTCCGGCGTGATGGCCAGCTCGCCCGAGAGCCGCCCCCCCAGGTACTGCGCCCACCGGCTGTCCAGGGGCCGGTCCTCTGCCTCCTGCTGCAGCAGGTTGTTGGATCGGATCTCCAGGGCCTGAATCCTGGCTAGCAACTTCACATCCTCCACCTCATAGTCTGGGACAATCTTGAAGCCATATTCATCGTATTCCCTGTAGAGATTACAGGGAATTTCATATTAAGATCCCATTACCTTCAGGGACAACGTCAGGAATATCCATCATTTATTCCTTTGGACCATCGTTAGTTAATTAGGTGTCAGTGAAATGCACGTGTCATATGATTTACATCATGATATTGAACGTTACTTGAAAAATATATATTCATCCCAGTAATAAAACAAAAAAAAATTATGTTATCGTTTATGAATAAAAAACATATTTAAAAACATTTCTAGATTACTTATTAAAGTAATAATGACAAAGTAATTAATAATAAATGCTGTATGTAATAATGTTTAGGAGCAAAAGCTCTCCAGCTTTTAGCTTCATGTGACTTTAATTAAAATATTGAAAGTTTCAGCAATATATTAAATCGACACCTCAATCAAGCACAACTAACTAAGCTGGGCTGGGCCAAAGGCCAGGCATGACTTGACGTGCTGATTTATAACGCTAACAGCGCTGGTCTGAATGATCATCATCACTGTCGTAGCACTTAGGCGATGCTTAATGGCTTCGCGCTGAGAAAACGGCGAGAGGTGTGAGCAGAGGCTGGCGGCCCCCCGTACCTGACTGGGTCCAGACTGAGGGGGTCCTTCGCCTCCCGCTGTAGCGCTTCCTCCACCAGGTGGCGCACCGCCTCCCGCTCCCCAGCCTCCAGGCCCTTGCACTCCTGCAACTTGCGCAGCACGCCCAGGTAGCGGCTCTCCATCTGGCAGCTGCGGGCCTCCAGATGAGCGCACTGCCAAATGGCGAAAAGCACGGGGGGGGGGGGGCGCTTCGGTTAGTGGAGGCGGGCGGCTAACGTTCGGTAGCATGCCAAGGTTGCCGGCACCCAACCGTCCTCGCCCGAGACATGCTGGGTCCCGGGCGAGTCGATAAGAGCGTCGGCGGCGAGTATGAACATGGCGGCACGCGGGTTGTGAGGTTCAGTCGCACCGCCGATGGTGTTTCCCCAGAGTGACTCATGCCCACTCAACTTGGCATTGGATCAACACAGGGTGTCGTACTCGGTGCACCTGCAGGGCCGTTCCTGGGATTTGGAGAGTCTATGAATCAGGCACCCGAATGCAGTCGCTTGCTGGATTTCTGCTCTGAAGGAAGAGCTGATGAGGCCGGGAGAGGACTTCTCCAGACCTTCTGCTCAGCAGCAGTACCCCCCAGGCGTGTCACTTTGTGGCATGAGGATGGATCGGTTCAATAAAAACAGAGATGTAGTTTCCTCTGTCACTTCTCTACTGGCAACAAAATCAACAGAGAAAAGCCGGGAGGATTTAGATGGTCGTGGACCTGCTGGTTGCCAGGTGTGACTCCAGTTGTCACCTTCCATGACGTTCAAAGCGTCAGTGTGGATTTGTCAAAGTGAGCGGCTTTCACTTTCACTATTGCTCAGCGGGTTTCTTCTAGGATCTTGGAGTTCATCATTGCGTCCTCACAACAGGCCTCGTCGTCGGAGTGTAATGCCAACAAACTATTAGCCGAACCAACTCGACGCCAAGGAATCCTACCACTGCTGCACCCACTGGACACGTCTGATCTGGGATCAGTGATGACGGCAGAGTGAAGCATAGCCAGCTGGTGGCCAACTCACCTTCACCATGAGGCTCTTCTCCTGCTCAGAGCTGTTCCTCCACAGCTTGGTCAGTTGATAAATCTCTGAGTTCAGAAACTGGTTCTGTAGCTTGTAGGCCTCTATGTCGTCCTTCGAGAGAGGGGAGGGGGTGAATTAGCCAAAAGATATGGAATATACTCCTCTGGGAGAACGTTCCCTTGAAAGTTTATTCATGCAGCACCTGAGGTCAGCAAACCAGCCACTTATAATCCAGAACAGTCTGAAGAAGCCCAGTTGTTTACAGTACTATCCCAGTTCGACAGAATCGCCAATGGGATTCTGTTCGCCAAAGTTTATTCATTAAAAATTCTTTATTCCTTATTTATCTATCTGAGCAGGTGCTTCAGCCCAACTTGATGGCTTCCCGTGTTACACCCTAAGTGGCTTTACAGCTCCGTTATGCCTTAATTGATCTAAATTACTTCAGAAACGCTCTCTTGAGGGTAAGCGAGCTGCCATTGGCCCAGCTGGTGCGCGCAACGTGCTAACCGCCGCCCTGCGGGTCTCGGATGCTGCTCCTGCAGCTTTGTTCTTTGCAGCATGCAGTGTCTCGATTCCCATTCGGGGGGGTTGTGCTTCTCGCAGGTCAGGCCGATTGCATAAGCGGCGGTGCTGCGGGGGCTGGTCTACTTCATGGTTGGTATAAGCTGGCGCATCAATGTGCGTCGCCCTCCTTTTGCAGGTAGCCTGTGGCTTCACACTTCTGGTACTCGCTTACTGTCGAACCGTGTCAACCCAACGCACGCACATACACACACACACATACACACACGCAGGCCCCTTACCTTGAGGTTGTCGATCTCCTCCTGCGTGGTCTCTGCCCTCTTGCTGCTGACTGATGCCATCTTCTGGGCTTCGTTGGAGGAGGCGGCCAGCTGCTCACTCAGCCTGAGGATGACCTCCTGCTTGGCTTGGTCTTTCTCCATCATCAGCCGCACCTGCTCCTGCAGCTCTGCCACGTGGCCGTCGCGCTGCATCAGTCGCTGCTGCAGCGCCTCCCGTTGGCTGCGCAGCGCCTCCAGCCTGGTGCCCAGGTCCGCGGCGTGACGCTCACGGTGCCTCAGCAGCTCCAGGCGCTCCTGCTCGCCATCCGCCGACAGGAACTGGGCGCAGGAGCGCTTCTCCTGTTGGGCCGCCTCCAGTGCCTTGTGCAGCAGCCACACCAGCTCCTGACAGGAAGTGACATCAGTGGTGAGGCAGGATGCTAGGGAGTTACAGCCAATGACATCACAGAGTGCAGGAGAGGATCAGGGTGTGGATCAGAGTGTGGAGAGGATCAGGGAATGTCAATGACAAACCTGTCAGTTATTGAGTTAATGGACCATAGAGTTCACATTTGAGGTTGTGACAGCACGCACATGTACGGACAGCACACACACATAGGTCCTTCCCAAGTGCAGAACCCACCTTCTGTGACTTGACCTCTTCGGCCAGCGAGAGCACCAAGGTCTTGTCTGAGCTGGTGACGTCCCTCAGGTCCGTGGGCATGGTGGATGACATGGCCCTCTTTTTCTTCCTCCTGCTCCGGAGGGACATGGATGGGGACAGAGACAGACAAGACGACCTCCGATCCTCCTGCCACCTTTCCCCTGGTGGCTCTGGCAGCTTCGGGGACACAGTGTCACCTAGAGAGAGACAAGGCACAGAGATTGACGTCTTCAGGTGAAGCTCTACTCCCTGCTATCCATGCTAATGCTCAGACACACCACTGACTTTCCCCACATTAGCACCTGAAAAAGCTGGGATTCCAAGTTAGCGAATTTTCGTTTTACAGGGGTGGTTTGGGAAAACTCATTTATATTCATGAGAGAAGTGCTACTTCATTGGCCAGTGAATGCCTTTGACTGAATTCATCAACCAATCGGGTAGCTTCTCGTGAATATTAATGAATTCCACTGAACCACCCTGAAAAAGACAGGTAGCACATGTCGACGTGACCATGTTCACTGGCCAATCAGGTAGCTCCTCTCATGAATATAAATGAGCTTGAACTGGATTGGGGTAAGACAGCATCATGTGTCTCTGGAAAGTGAAAATGTGGAGCGTGTGCAGACCTGGTGGCGGGCAGAGACTCTTCGGCTCAGTGGCGGGAGATGGAGCTTCTGGGAGCTCCCCCAGGCGGAAGGCGGTCAGGCGCAGGCTGTGTACGGAGTTCCTGTCGGAAACACAGGTGAAGCTCTGAGGTTTGGGGTCTCTGCACCGCTACTCAGGCCAATGATCCTGGGACGTTTCCCATAATCCTCTCCTCTGCCGTCATCAGACCCCCACCCCCCACCCATGGAGACCGCGCTCTGTCTTTGCATTCTCACTGTTCTCATGGTCTGTTTAAACCAGTGAGGAATACCTGAAATACAGACTTCTGCTTTTTATTAAAGACCATTTCTTTTTTGTGTGTTTTCCTCTGCCACAGACAAGATTCACTTCCCCAGCAAATATTTCTCCTTCCGAATGACAGTCTGCATTCAAGCTGTAAAGCCCCCCCCTCCTGAATTTCCCCTCATTTAACATCAACAAACTCAAAATATTACAGTTATGGTGCAAGTATACACTGCCAATCAAAAGTTTTCTGCATTTGCATGTTAATAAAAATACACTCAATATTCTTTGCTAACAAATAAATCTACAGTATGTTCATTTGAGTACCTTTATTAGTAAGATAATGTCATATCTTTGATTCATCAAAGTAACCTCCTCTAGCAGTTATAACGGCAGAGAAAATTCAAGGCATTCTTTCCAAAAGGGACATTCAATATTGCTCTGTTTCATGGGACAAAATAGTTAACTAATGCATCTAAAGTTAAAGGACAGCCTAGAATTTGACTCTAGGACACTAGAATTTGATCACCACACAACCAGTTAATAGGATGTCAGACATGCACTGTTACATACTCTTTCCATGATGAAAAAAGAACATTTGTTTTAATTGTCTTATATTTTAATTTATAGTTGTTCACTCAACTTTCCAATGCTTAAGAAGGATTAAAAAAACTGCAGTTTATGAAATAAATGGAAACGTGGTAAAAACTGTGAGCAAAAAATTTTGACTGGTAGCGTATTCTGAAACTAGAACATTTGGTCACACTGCATCTCATTCTGAGCCCAAAATTTGTGCTAAACATCTGCTCTCTTTGCCTCTGCTTTGTGTTTCCATTCTGAGTGCTAAACTACAAAAGTCACTGAAAAGTCACAACAAGTTAAAACTCCCCAAAAGCGCATGTGAAAGTGTAGCAACTGGGTAATGTACAAGTGTTGCCTCAGAGTATTTTTTCCCCTCTTGAAAACAGTGGTTTTTGGTCTAGGAAGCAAATTACTGCAAGCGGATGTCGGGTTTTTTTATGGCTCATCAACCTGTCGGTACTCGAACAAAGGTGTCAGTGGCAAAACGCTCTGACTGAGAAAAAACTATGTAGGACAAGGGTTTAGTACTGTGAAATGGCCCAGCAGTGTGATTCCCCTACATGCCAGCGTGAGGCGGTGTGTGTTACACCTAATCCATGTCAGGAAGGACACTTTGAGCTACTTCAGGTTTTACAAACTACTTTCAAACTGAAAGGTTCCTGTGCTCGGCTAAATAGTTCAGCTCTTCTTGTGCTTTGACTGGTTTGTTTCCTTGACTGAAAGACTCATCCAGCTGTTTCACATTAGGATTAGTGGCACATGCATGATTATAGGAGACTGACCAATCAGCACACAGCAAGAACTCAGTGCTGAAGTGAAATCCAGGTCTTTTTAATTGAAGTAGTAGGTTTCCTGGCTCATAGTGTCCCCCCCCCCTAGTGTATGTGTCTCCACTTACTGGATCTCCGTCAGGGGGTGTTTGAAAGAAACGTTGCTGAACATGGCGCGTTGCTTTGGGGCTGGCAATCCCGCTGCTGCCTCACCCACCAGCCCCGTGGGGGTCTTCACTGTGGGCAGGAAGTCGCCATCTATACCGGAAAAAAAAGAAGGAAAAGAAACACTGGAGTGTAAATACAGTGCACCTCCGTCGCCCTCCGGGGGCGGCTTCCGGAACAGACAATGGCGGTAGCGTAATGGGAAGGTGGAAGCAATCTCCGCACGTGGAAAATGTGCCGGTTGTGGGTGTTTTCCTCATATTGTCAGACGGAAGCAGGAGCGGCGGACATTAAAGGCAGGAGATGGGACCAGATGTTAGTCGCTACCTCCCTTGGCCGATTGGCCACCTGCTTGTTTGACAAGACAGCTCTGCGGGCGGAAGGAGGCCGATCTCTTAATGCCGAACCCCCAACGCGAGACCTACACATCAGCCTGAAGACCAGGTCTTCAATCTTTACCTGTCACACTGCCGTACTTTGCAGTCGCACTGAATGTAAGAAAATCAAGAGGATGCGAAGAAAAAAAACTGGCAATAATATTCGGCGCTGGAAAGGAGGAGCTGATGTTCTCTCGTCTTCCACTGGACTCAGAAGAGCCAAAACTGGGAAGTAGCTCTGTGTACATACAACAGAACTGGATGCATGTCATGTGATGTGGGTCACATGATCACCAGTCTGTCTCTGGGATCATCTCTCTGATGTGTATCTTGCAGGCAGGTATGTGTCATTGTTACAGCTGCAGTGGCTGATTACAGCGCAGCAGCTCTTTGGTGTGTCTTCCACGTTGCCTAGAGACGGTTTTGGGGATGTAAAGCCGTCCGACAGCCTACGAGGCACGGTGACGTTCGGTCAGGTCAGCACATGACTGAAATGCCTGGGGAACAGCTCACAATGTTCTAACAATTTTGTATGTTATGGATGACGGGGAATGGAAGTACACGATTCTCACGGTTTGGTTTTTTTTTTTGCTCAGACATTGAGCGAGGAGACACGATTGCTGGTTCACCAAAACACACACAAACTACAGTTAAAACTAAATATTTTATCACTTCCATCTTCAACAAACAGCAGTAAGGTCCCCTCCCACAAGACAGCATAGAGTTTAAAACAAATGAATGGTTTGGGTCTGAAAAATACCATCAACCTGAACGACTCCTCATTCATTTGCTGATTTTAAATACAGAAGCACTTTCCAATTCTGCTGAGTCTGCAGGTGTCATTCTCAGACCACCATCACCTGGGTGTGTGAACCCCCCCAAGATGGTTATAATACCATTAACCTGCTGACGTAAAACTGATTATATGGCCAATTTGGTCTTAAAGTGTCAGGGAGAAATGCAGATGTGATCAGTTCTCCAAAAAAAAAGCACCAGTTTGTACCTTTGAGGGTACAATTACATGTCACTAGGGCTGTACCCCCCAGGATCTGCCAATTGTACCCTTAGCTGTAGGTACTTGTACCTTTTAAGGGACAGGAATGGACTAAGAGGAACAGGGTTGTACCATTGGGGTACATTAATGTTATATGTACCTTGGGGATCCATAGCGTACAATTGGGAGACCCTGGAGGGTACAAATTGATACTCATTTTTTCTGACAGTGTATACTGAATTAAAAACAGGCTAGCAGGTGTTAGAATGAGTGGGGTGCTGGCAGTGTATGGGTGAGGGGTTGGGGGCAGGGCATAGGAAAGTGATGTGGGCGGGGCAATGTGATTGACAGGTCGGCGTGATGAGGTTTGGGCGAGGTGAAATTGTGTTGCCAGGGGAATGCAAGGAGGGGCTGGGTGGAATAAGATAATGAGGGGTGGGGCAGGCCAGGGTGAGACGAGGCACAAGACGTACTCCTGATGCAACATTGTGCAGGTTATGCAAAGTACAATTAATAACAAGGCAGTGTTCGGTACACCCCAGTGCTGCTGGGAAGTGTCTTTGCCCCTCCCCCCTCCCACGTCATAACTGCTTGCTAAGCATCTGGTAGCTTTGTCTTGTTGTTCTTTTTCTTCAGACCCAATAAAGTCATAATGCAAAAAAGTCTGCTCTATTGCAGGATGTGGGGGGATGAGGTGTTTGTGTGTGTGTGTGTGGGGGGGGGGCAAGGGGGGGTTGCAAAATTATATCTGACGGAAGAGGAAGACAAAATATTTTTAGGCGCTTTACACTGAGTAACAATAACCCTCCCCCAGATCTGTCTGGTTCACAATAAAACGCTCACTTGTACTGCAGAAAGAACAAAGACTGACACATGTTACGCTCATTATATCCTAAGGCCCCCAAAAAACACAATGTTCATTTATGCATTCAGCGGCCTAAGGACTTGAGTGCATATGAGCCAAGTATTCAGAATCCATGAGAAAAGATTACTTCTATTTTGGCAAAATGTCCTTTGAAACGTTTCAAATGCCTCAGCTGACCAGCACCTAAGTATAAGACCCTAAAGTTTATCCCCTAGGCATGAGTGTTTTCAAAACAGCTCCAGTCATGCACACTCAATGCTGTTAGGGAGCGTAGCAAAATTCCCACTGGGATCCCATGTTAGACGGGCCCTAATCTCCCTAATTATGGTGACTAAGCCTATCTAGGCCTATTTGTTGGCTGGAATGTGGTTCTTTCATACAGTTAAAGGCACGTCATGAATGCTAATGGTCATCTGGGAGGAAATTTCCTCCCCTTGATGGTTTATTTTCTTGTTCTTTATTTTTGTGATATTTGGGCCTCACCCTTTTGGTTCACGTAGCTCCTGTGCTATTGCTGTCCACTCTGACCGCCATCCTGTCTAGAGCAGATATAAACTCTACGTCAAGGTCCTCCCATCGCCGTATCGTTCAATCAGACAGACGTTCGTCTCAGGGTCCCTGCCACCCTCAGATCAGATCTCCCAGGCGTGAGCACCAGGGTCCCGTATAACCACACACATTACTGTTAGGTTACAAACAAAGGAACAAGCTGTCATGCTGTAGTTCTGTTTTTTTTTTTCCAAAATATCAATCAGGTCTTTCAAGTGGGTGAATCTGGGGAACAGAAATGATTGCATTGAGGTTACACTGGTACTTCACTTCACGGCTACACTTTCAAATTCAAAAATGAAAGTCAGCAGTATCTGAAAGAATTTGCCCCTTTGTTACTTCTGTCTGAAGGCCATTTGGGTTCAAAGCAATAAGTGGAATTGGAAAATAAAAGTAAAAGCGAAGCAGCTTTGCTAAAACAAGAAAGTTTGTCTCCCGTTTGCAGGTGGAGAAGCACCTGGAACAAAGGAGGACTTTCAGCACATTGAGCGGCCAGATCAGCAGTAACTTAGGACCTCTGGTCATTTGTGGTAAAACAAACTACCTAAATAAAGATGAAAAGAAAACGAAACATCCTGTTTTACGCCATTGTGAGTTTAGATAAGATTTTAACTTGAGGCTCCACCCAAGTCCATTTTAGCCAAAATGAGCCTGTTTATGTGATACACATGCTGATCGGGCTGTAAATTGTCAGTTCGTGTCTCATGTAATGTACACTGCAAAGGCCACGTCAGACTGACCCTCTGCTCACTCCGACTCCCCTCGTCCCCAAAAACTGCCGCAGGCTGCCAGCAATCCAGACGATCTCTCTTTAAAAAGTTCTCTCAGTTCCTCCCTGTCACAGTCATCATGCAGTAAATTTTTCTGACAATCGATGTGCGCTTTTGATTTTCCCCACCCACTCGCTGCCATGGAAATGCACAACATCATCACAATCTGAGACACCACCACGCCGACTGCCACAGGCCGTGCTGCTCCAATCACGCCTTCTCCACCTTCCGCAAATCAGCTTCCATTCAGTGGGACTGAGAAATCGACTGCAGTTATTGCGACGCCAGAGGTTCAGGAAGCGGCCCACGCTACACTAATGGGAAGTTTTTCACTTATGCTTTGTACACATCTCCCTAGTCAACATGACCACGCTGTGAGCTGAACTGACACTAAAGCAAATGTTTGATTTCTGGTCAAAGGTTACCGCCACAGGGATTTGGCCTCCAGGAAGTGAGTCCATAACCCTAATCTTGCTCCATGTTTATCACACCTATCTCTGCTCATTTCTGCCATTCTCCGCTCATGTTTGAACTCAACCCTCCCACTTCTCACATGGTATCTAACCAAATATGCTGTCGAATCCCTGCCCCCCCCCCCCCCCCAAATACTTTCCTCAAAAGAATAACAACAAGACCCCCCCCACGCTATGCTGACCTGATGCAGAAGCTGGATAGGGTCCCCCAGCTACCTCACCTGCGCCGCCACCGCGAGTCGCCCTCCAGTCGTCCGCCTCCGTCTCCCCGCAGAGCTGCGCAGACCCCGCAGACGTCCGCGACCTGTGCTGCCAGCGCTTCAGCTGCAGCTGCTGCAGCCAGTACATCATGGTCTGCCGGTTCAGTGCCTGGTGAGAAGATGAGAGGTCACTCGTACCTGTGCTGTCCCAGGCCAGATGCGCAAAAGACACGGACCGCGCTCACGCTCGCGCGCACATCCCGATTTACCGAAACCCGCGCTAACGTCACCGACCGGGGCACCGGCAACATCTACAACGTTAACCTGGGTGTCTGCTGCAAGAACATAGATGTTTACAGGATGTTTCTTGATGATTACTCTGGAGAAAATTCTGGGGAATAAACACCATAAACAAGCCCACTGGACCGAAGACGGTGGGGAGATGAGAGCCAGGCATTTTCCCGACATGGGGAGTTAAAGGATAATTAGGAGATCTGATGGCAAGCAGCTAGACAATCATTCACCCAGGGAGACAACTATAAACAAACCATCCCATCATATCTTGAAGAGACAGGCAGCAAGAAGCTACGACAAAGCAATTCATGTTTCCAGACAGAATGGAGGTCTTGTTGGGTTTTTGGCTAACCAGAGCGATTAGCCAGGGAATCCCAGCTTGATGTTACTCTAATAAGAGTAACAGTATCAAATGCTCCCCGTGAGGAAATTCTCTTTAAGCTTCCTCCAACTTGCTTTCTGTAGGTGAGAACAAGCTCAAGGACCCACAGACATGCTAAGGCAGGGCTTGAACCAGCAACCTTCTGATCGCAGGAACAGAGGCTTGGCCCACTGAGCCACATGCTGCACTTCTTGTTGAAATGCTCTGTAGTACCTCTACACTCTATACTCCCTCAAAACTCTATACTCCCTGCTAAGCATTCTGGGAAGACTTCAGCTGGATAATGGCTGATAATGGATACAATTTGTTCAAGGTATAAGATTCTCCTATTGGCTGTTGAGGAATTCACTTTTCATTAAAGAATGCAGGAAGACATGATAAATGCATGCTTTTATCAGGCTGGGAAAGATGATGAATAAAATTTCAATATTTTACTTTTAAAACAGCTTCTGCAGTCAGCTGATGCAGCTGTTTCACAATGGGAATCCCTATTTGCGCATGGCTGAGAGGTGAATAAGGTCACTGAATAAGGTCATTTGCCCCATCAGGCCTTGTAAAAAGCGGCCTTTTGTCGCGGGACTGCTGTGAATCGCAGTACCCGGGTGAATCTGCCACCCTGAACAGGAACGGGCACAGGGGACACATTCAGACACATCTGCCCCACACACACACGCACACACACACTGTCAAGCATGCCAGTCACACCACTGTACCAGTGACCTTTTTGAAATGGGAGACAAAAAAAATCAACACATTACAAACTCGATGATCCCGCAAAGTCCGACACCAGGCCCCATCTCCGAAACCGAATGTCCCCAGAAGGGTGGTGGAGGGATCCCTGTTAGCAACGCGTCACAAGACCTGAAGGCTCCACAAATGTAGAGGGAACTGAAAACGTCTTGCCACTCCTTTCCACACCCCTGGGACATCCCCTACTAATTCCCCACAGGCAACGAAGTCTACAAAGCTAATGAAGAGGAAATGCCCCACGCGGTACCGTGCCCCCCTGGCAGATCTGACTGTTACTTAACACTGTGATGCAAGACCGTGTGCAACACTGTGGCTTAACACCCAAGTAGCGTTTGTCAACTGTCAAGTGAACATTCGCGCGTTTATTCCGACCTTCCCGCTGAGGCGGAGAAACGGCTTGTTTCCGAGCACTGAATCTGCGTCAGCCTCCATCATCTCGGCATGTTTACTAAGCCACACGCAGTAAATGAAGGTGCTGTTCCTCTGCCGCTGGAACTGCAGCTTCATGCCATGCGACCATCGCCATGGCGATCACGCTGCACTCACTCATGGGGGCTCATGAGGTACTCCTGAGGTACTCCTGAGGTACTCATGAGGTACTCATGAGGTACTCATGAGGTACTCATGACTGATTACTCAGGCCTGGCATCCAGCATTAGCAACTCGGCCCGATGACGAAGAACACAGGCAACAAGAGGAAAAAAAGATTTAAAAAGACTGAAAAGATTCAGACCTAACTTCCTCTTCTAACGGAGGAGAAAATCCCCCCAAGAGAGGCTCTACCCACAGGGAGAGGGAGAGTTATCAAATCTTCTTGAATTAACTGAGCAGCTTCCGTCCCAGTTGAATGTGTTATTTATAACTACAGTATGTCGTTCTCAAGCATCACTTAAATAAAACAAGCTAAATATCCAAAGTGCAACTCATCACTATTGTACAGGTCAGTGGTTCTCAACTGGTTCAGCCTCAGGACCCAAATTTTTCACTGGTCATTAAGTCATGACCAAATTTTTTGACAATTTTGAACCAAATTTATTTCACAAAAGGCAGTGCACTAATAGAAAATAGAACATAGTGTGCAGTAACAGTGACACAATGCCTTCATGCACTGTTAAAAAGCAAACATTTAGACGTATTACAATTTAAATACATTTTTTTAACCACATACTCAAATTTTTTCATCTGGGTCGTGACCAATCAGTTGAGAAACAGTGTCCCAGGTAACCTTCGTCGTTTGGCAAACACGCAAAACATATGGTTGAGTGCAGAGGTGGAGAGTTCAGGTCCAGAAAGTAAAAAATCCAGACCAAGATTTAGTTTCAACCAACCAGTTGAGCATAAAGAGTCAATCACAGAGGACTCAACTGGTTGGTTGAAACTAAATCTTGGTCTGGATTTTTACTGTCTGGACCTGAACTCTCCACCTCCGGTTGAGTGTTTACGAGGAAAGTCAACCTATTTCATAAGGAAAGCAGAGAACAAAAACGAGTCACCCTGCCCCCTCATGACAGGGGTTGCTGCTCACTTCACCTTGAGGACAAAGGTGCGTTCCGGAGTCTGGACGTGGAAAGTGCCCTCGTCCCCTCGGAGAGGGTAGCCGAAGGTGGCCCGGGCTAGTTCCACGTGGCCCAGCGGGTTGGCATCCTGGGGGGTCCTGTAGTAGAATAGCTGGCACTTCCCCTCCTCATACGTGAACCAGCGGCACTTCCAGCTCCGCAGGGGCCCCCCGAGTTTGTGCAAGTAGCCGCACAGCTTGGTGGGGGCGGACACAGCGGCCCAGCCCATGCGCTCCTCGCACGGACGGCCCTCATCCGCGGCCGTCGCTCCCATCCCGTTCTCTGTGGTCTCTCCTAGACTCTTCAGCTCAATGATGACTTTGCACACGGAGGGCAGATCTACATGAAGAGGAAGTGGAGCGTGCGCTGATTCAGTCGGATTTCCTTCGGGGCCGTGTCTCTCCATTATTCCACACAGCATTCTGGGAAAGAAACAAACACAAACAGACTATAATGCCATAATCTAAATGCTTATGTCAGAATCTTGGCTTTGCATAAATTGCAGCTATGATCTCAATCTTAACGTACTCATAACATACAGCCTAAAGGTGTTTGTTTCCTTTGATCATTAAATAAGGGTGGTTTAACAATTTAGGAAGAGGATGACTAATTTATCTCGGATACATGTAACATTTTGAGTTGTGTATGTTGTGTTCTCACTTCTCACCCTTTTTTCATTATGAAATAGGTTGAAAAACACTGTTTGGGATAAATTGGGATCTTAGATCAAGACTGAGAATGGTATTTCTAAATGTGCTTATTTTTTGCGCGTCAAAATGAGTAATGCTGCGGTAATCATCAGTACTTTAATCATATAAATGACAGATTAAACTAATTTGTTTATTAGGAAACATTACAGATACAGTTTTCAAAAATGTTTCACGTTATCAAATAACGTATGATTTAACGTTTGATTTAAAACTGTAGCAAGACCTCAAGCAAATCATTCCTTAACTTTATGATTCTGAGCCATAAATATATTTTGCAGTTCCGCTCCTCTATATATATGTATATATATATATATATATATATAGAGAGAGAGAGAGAAATCAACCCAATGAAGAGACGTCATGCACGTATATGATGTTCATATATGAGCGTACTTAAAGATATTTATAAGACACAACAAGGCAACCACAAACCTTACCCTTAACACGGACCATAAGAAAAGCCATTTGTTGATTAAGTTCATGATGGTAGTGCAGAGAAGAAAACCTTGATACTGTACTGTGTTGTACTGATGGCAAGTGTCAAAAGGCGCAAGCTGTCATACTCACGGTTTGTTCTATCTGTTGTCCAAAATCCAAACATATTGGTTAAACATGCTGAAAAAAAATGTCCTCTGTGGCTTTGAAAAAACACCTAAACACGCCAAGTGATACAATGTACTGTTGACAATTGGTTGACAATGTCTATTACGAATAAGACCACAATCGTGTAAGGACAAAATGAAAGGGAGATTACTGCTTTCCCCGATGAACTTCTCAACTTAAACTGCGCCGTGGCGCTCGGCGGAGATTCTCTTACCCAATCGGAAGGTTTCAGCGGCGTTATGTCACAGCGGCAGCCGCGTTTCACAGTCTTACATACATCTGAGTGCTGTGCTTTGTTTCAAGCAGAAAAGGTGTGTACGCTTGCCTAAAAATGGGCTGTCCTGCGAGAAGAAATCCTCCCTGTTAGGCAAGAATGGGTATACACGACCTCTCCAACGTCTCTGCTTATTTAATATACATGTATAAACATTTGTATATACATATGAATAATACATAATACAATACAGTAGGCCTATATAATAATAAAGTATAAAAGTAAGTATAGTGCTATTACATTGAATGTAATATGATAACTTTAATATTCTCATAAAGATTTTACCTACCCATCATCCGCCTGTGGTAGTTATTTAAACATTTTTGACATTTATTTTTATAATAAACATTACTTGGCTTGCTGAGTCTATAACGAGCGATCAGTCCCATCACTAAATGTGTATAGTCGATGTTAAAATATCCTTAAAGCTTTATTAATTTTTTTGGAGCCGCCTGCAGTGCGACCTCCAGGGCGACAGGGGGCGATATTATTTTCCCCACTCAGTAACGCGATGGGGTTACAGGTCAGAGTTGCTGATGTTGACAGCGTGCTTTTCTGAGTCTGGCAGTTATTCTGATTGAGGAGAGTGTTTTGTGAAGTAAGGTGTGTAACATTGTTATTTTACCTCAGTATTCAGTTTTTAATAAAGGAAAATAGAATAAAAATCCTTTCTTGCTACTTCGATTTAGATAAATTCGCAGTGGTACCGCCCTAGCCTTGTAGATAGGTACTCACATAAAATAAATGTTTATCTTCTGTTGTTATCTGACATTGTCATTCATAAACGTATTGTAGCTTTTTGGATACATAATGTACATTATGTTACTAATGTAATAAATAGTAAGCAGGATAATTACGTTATCTAATTCTGCTACTTGATGAATTAACCGTCTATGCAGCCGGTATCAAGCGGACTGCACTGAAACTCCTTAAAAGTGAACATTATAATATTAATAAATACCCTGACGCAGGTCGTTTCCGGAGGCGAGATGCGGAACCTGAAGCTGCAGAAGCTGCTGCGCTGCTCGGAACTGCGTGGCCCCGGTATCCCGCAATGCTTCTCCGTGCGGACCGACACCGGTACAGTGCTGGTGGCTTCGGAGTACGGCATTACCGAGATGGACCCGCGGTCCGTCCAGGTGGGTGGCTTGGCTGAACATACGGAAACAGTTGCATGTGTTGAAGAAACTATTGCCTAGCACTGGAGAGTTGAGAAAGCTTTTTACATCCTCATGGACCATCTCCATCCTATTCATTCCCATTCCATCCTAATACACTTGTTATGGATCATCAGGATGTGCTTTTAGTAGTTGAACCTGTGACAGCAACAGGGCGGACACACACAATTTCAAGCAAAGACACGATAGCTGCATCAAAGGCTCTGATGGACTATAAATTGAGAGTATAGCAATTTGTTTATGTTCTTACATTCCCACCTTCCCTTTAAACAGTACTGATTGTATGTAACTTATGCATTATTACACTGAAATTCTTTCCTTGCCCTGGTAGCCTAAAAGCCTATCTAGTTTGTTTATTTTCGTTAGTTTTTCAGGTTTTTGACAAATGAAGGCCCTTTTTTAGTAGGCCAGTGTCTAGTCAAAAGTGTAAACTAAAGAGGAAAATAAACTATTCTGATTGTACCATTAATTCTATTTTTTCCAGTTACTTTGGCAGTATTGTCTTTTTATTCATTTTTAATAGTAATTAAAAATTTACAATCTATTTCCACAGCTAGTTCTGGCAATGGTAGTCGCCATGAAAAAAAATAACCCTGTACCATGCATTGATGACTAACTGCTATTCTGCTACTGCTAACAGCATTGTAAGAAATTGTGGTTTTGATACACACTTCATACAAGTAATGATATCTCAGCAACAACTCAAAAACCAAAAACCAAATTTTCGGAAGCTCAGTCTCAACTCTCAACTCTCCAGCGCTGGGCAATAGATTCTTCAACACATCCTAGCCACCAATTATCATCATATGCAGCCACGACGTAACCTTTGATGTCGAGTGATTCCCTCAGTGTGCACTTACACTGGACCGATTTGCACACCTCACTCACCTCTGACGAATGCAGGGCATTTACAGTATTAGCCATATTTACTAGCCATGTGGACCTTTTCAGTGGTATGACAAGTACAGGTGTCTGCAATGACATTAATGAAGCTTCCATTAAATTTCATTGTAGCATATTTGTAACCTTAATTAATGTTATTACTGACACATGTGCTTGTTATACTATTTCGTGTCAGTTTGGCTGCCATTAAAAAGGCCCATCAGTGATATGAAACCATGTGACGCTACATTTAAGTCAAGATATCTCAGCAACACCTTAAAAATCAAAGACCAAATTTTCTGGAGATGTTCATTATTATCTAGCTTTAGTAAAAAATTGATCAATTTTGAAATAGTGTTTTTTTTTTTAATTGAATTTTTAATATTTTAATTGGTTATTACATAGTAATTATTTATATGGGGATGGCATATTATTTGTTCAATCTATAGAACTGGACAATAGCTTTAAAACAATATAAGGACCACTTTTGTGTAGCTTACATTAAGGTAAATATAGCCAGTCAAAGTCATAGCCCCCCCCCCAAAAAAAATAAAATAAAATAAAATAATTTGTTCACTTAAATCTCCCTCAATATTGATCCCAGACACGCCCAATTTCAGTTTCATGAGTTACTCATGTGCCCAAATCAGCATGCCAAGTTTCGTTAAAATCCGTGACGATGAGGTCCGGAAGTGTGATGATTTGACGTGGGATGACCAAGGTAGGACATGTATGCAGTATGTTGTCAACAAAGTATATATGTCTGTTTATTTATATGTAAATATAAATATATACTGCAGGTGCTAACCGAGGTGTCCCTGACCGCTGACAGTTATCTTGCGGAAGATGGCAGTGGCACTGTTGTGGGGATTCAGGATTTACCAGATCAGGAGTCGGTGTGCATGGCGACAAATGCTGGTGATGTCATCTTATACAATTTCAGTACCAGTCAGGTATGGACCAAGGAGGATTTTTATAGGAATGGGTTGAATATAATGCAATAATGACAATAATCTTGTGATGTGATGTTTAGGTCAGGTGTAGTCGAATACCAACTTTAGAATAAACAGTGACAGCCTTATGGTTGTGATAAAGGTTTCTAGATCAATAACTCCACTAGGAACAGCTCTGTTCCACATGCTATAATTCTTCAGATCTCTCCTGGAAACTAATCAGTGCTGCTACTGGACTTTCCAGGAATCACATTGTATTACATTGAGGTGCATCGTTTTCATACACATTGTAAATTGCACTGTATATTGTATTTATATTCTGTATCTTACACTGAATGTTACAACTCAGCAAAACAAATTCCTTAGATAAGTAATGTCCTTGGTGAATGAAGCTGATTCTGAAGACAGGATATTTAATGCTCCACTGACTTCTAGGATCCTGATATTTGTCTCACAATTCCATGACGCTTAATGTTCGTCCTCATGTTTGATCTTTCTTTTCCTACTGGATTGATTGACATTCTTATGATCAGACGACAGTGAGGATGGGAGTGTTATTCTTACTGCTCCCTGATTGGCTCCCCAGCTGGAGTGCGTGGGCAGCGTGGACAGCGGCCTGACGGGCATGTGCTGGAGCCCTGACCAGGAGCTGATGGTCCTCACCACAGGTCAGCCTTGGCATGCGTGATTATCTGCTTCTGGTGCTCTTTGCTGGGAGACTGTGTGAGATTGCTGAAGGAATGTTGGCACTGCAGTCATGCCGCGTGCTTCCTGCATCATTCTGTCACGACTTACTGCCCATCTGTGGATGTAGGTCAGGAGACCATCATCATCATGACCAAGGACTTTGATCCCATAACTGAGGTAGCGATCCAGCAGGACGACTTTGGGGAGGGTAGGTTTGATGTGCTTTGCTCTAACTCCAACCGAGTTCCAATCCACCTTCTGTATTGTTTCCCTGCTTTTAAGACTAATCCTTACTGTCCTCTCCTAGACAAGTTCATCACGGTGGGCTGGGGGAAGAAGGAGACCCAGTTCCATGGGTCAGAGGGCAAGCAGGCCGCTCAGCGCAAGGTTGCAGTAAGTCTCATTGCAGTGTATTATGGGATTATATGGATAATGGCCACCATGACCGTAAGTACATTGGGTAACTCTTTACATTAACTACACCTTCATAATGCCTTTAAAATGGACAGTGGTACCTCAGAACTCGAATTTAATCAGGATCGAATCCTAAAAAGTTTGAGTTGTGATCGAATTTTTCCCCATAAGAAATAATGGAAAACCAATGAATTGGTTCCCAGCCCCAAAAAATTACACCTAAATATGTTTTTTAGCATTTAAACACAAAATGAACCAGATAAAACAAGAAGAGCATATACTGTACTAAACACATCTAAGCACATTTATCAAAACAGTAATTTGTAAAGTAAGAAAATAAATGTATCCAAACAATGTGTCCTGCCCCGATCGTCCGCTCCTTCCGTGTGCCACGCCCCCTCGTTAACCCCGTGTGGAATCCCCGTGTGATCAGCTGTTTCTGGTTGTTGTCATTAGCCCTCTGTATTTCGTCTGTGTTTCAGTTTGTTTCCCCCTTCCGGTCATTGTATTGTCCGTCTGCGATTTGCCTGCCTTACCTGTAATTAAACCCCGTATTCCCCGATACCTTGACGTCTGCGCCTTTGTCTCTGTTCCTTCCCCGCTCGGCACAACAATATTATTATAATTAAACGTATTAATGGTTAATTATTAATGTTAAAATAATGAATAAGAAATCTTTATTTTTAAATGTATTTTATTATATAATAATAATAATTACTGTTACTGTCTGTCATTTTCTAAATGTATTTTTTACTGTCTAAATACGTGTATTCAGCTAGTGTAAACATGCACGATGCTATCACAGCTAATGCGAGGCTGA